TGGGGACACCAAACTTATAAAACCATTCCACCACCAACACTTGGGCCACTGTTTCTGCCCGTTGATCTCGTGTAGGCACGGCTAGGGTGTACTTCGTAAAGACGTCGGTCATAACCAGTATGTTCTCCAACCCCGACCGAGTTGGCTCCAACACGGTAAAATCTATGGCCAATATTTCATTTGGCCTAAAGGCCAAAAGATTGCCCATGAAGCTACTAGGATGGAGTTGGGTATCTTTGGTGGCCTGGCACCGCTCACACTCTCGGCACCATTGTGCCTCAGCCGATGTCAGACCCGGCCAATAGCACCGCTGCCGCACCAATTCAGTGGTACGTTCCACCCCTTGGTGCCCATGCTCCTGGTGTAACAGCGTTAGCACTTCGTGATGCAAAATGATGGCAACACCACCTGAAGTGCCTCTTCTCCCCCATCCGAGCGGAACACACGTCGATGCAACACCCCATCCTGCTCACACAAACGGCTCCATTGCCGTAGCAGACTCACCACCGCCCTGGACAACTGCTGACGCTCCTCTGCACTGGGAGGAACCCCGCGCCTCCAAAACCTCAACACTTCACCTATAACAGGATCCTCCCTCAGTAATAACTGCATATCCACCGCCAAACCCGGCAGCACAGTGACTGCTGCTTGAGTACCCACTCCTGTTACACCAGCCTGCCTTACCATGGCTGGGAGAGCGGTACCAGGCAGTAATGGTTCCAACTCACCCTGACTAGAGGGACCCTGCCGGGAGAGAGCATCCGCATTCCGGTTGCTCCTTCCGGAGCGATACCTCAGCTCAAAATCAAAGGCAGCCAATTGCGCAGCCCACCGCTGCTCCGTGGCCCCGAGCTTAGCATTATTCAGGTGGCGGAGGGGGTTGTTATCCGTGAAGATGACACACCTCTGCCCCAAAAGATATTCTCTGAACTTCTCAGTCATAGCCCACTTGAGCGCCAACAATTCCAACTTCGTAGAGCTGTAGTTTGACATATTGCGCTCGGTGGGCCTAAGACCGCGGCTAGCATAAGCTATAGGCCGCACCTTCCCGCCCTGTTCCTGGGACAAAACTGCTCCCAATCCACCCTGGCTAGCATCTACCTCCAGGATAAAGGGAAGGGAGAAGTCCGCATAAGCCAATACAGGGGCAGAGGTGAGCCTACTCTTCAACTCCTCGAAGCTCCCCTGACACTGCTCGGTCCACACCGCCCCAAAACTCGACTCTGCTCGCGCCCTGGGCTTACGACCCGCAAACTCAGCTACAAGCCGGTGCAGAGGAGCCGCCAACTTGGCAAAACCTTCTACAAACCGCCTATAATAACTGGCGAACCCCAGGAATGAACGGAGCTCTACCACCCCCGTGGTGTGCTGCCATTGCCTCACTGCCTCTATCTTGCTTGGATCTGTCGACACCCCCTTGCCAGAAATTACGTGTCCCAGATAACTTACCTCTTGCTGGAAAAACATACATTTGGTTAATTTAGCCTTCAACCCCTCCCGCTCCAGCCGACTCAAAACCACCTCTAACCGCTCTAGGTGTTGTGTCACAGAGGAGGAAAACACTACTATATCATCCAAATACAACAGAAGGGACTGACACTGCTGGTCCCCAAACAACCTCTCCATCAACCTCTGGAAGGTGCTTGGGGCATTGCAGAGCCCGAATGGCATACGATTCCATTCAAAAAGACCAAAGGGTGTACAGAAAGCAGTCTTGTGTTTATCCCCCTCGGTGACAGGAACCTGGTTATACCCACTGGCGAGGTCCATGGTGGAAAACCACCGGGCCCCCATCAGGGAGTCCAAGTTTTCCTCTATACGCGGCAGAGGGAAAGCATCCCTTCGTGTTTTCGCGTTCAGCGGGCGGTAATCTACACACATACGTAACGTGCCATCCTTCTTTTTGGCCAACACGCTGGGGGAGGCGTAAGGACTACAGCTCTCTCTAATGATATTTGTTTCCATCAACTGGTTTATGTGTGTTTTTACTACATCGTACTCAGACGGAGGTATCCGCCGGTACCGCTGTCGAATGGGGACAGAGTCGGTCAAAGGGATGTCATGAGACAGAAGTTGAGTACACCCCAAATCGACTGCATGCGCCGCGAAAACCATATGAAATTTTAACAACAGAGACCTTACCTGCTCCTGTTCGATCTCAGTTAACACAGACAAATCAAGACTCTTGATTTGTTCCTGCACTGGAGAAAGAACAGTAGGAATCTGAAGGTTTACCGCCGCAGAAACAGATTTAACTTCTGAGACGCCAGGGGGCATACTCACAATAAATACGCTGTGCAACGTGCCCAAGACAGCGTTCCGAAAAAGCATTATGTCAGTCTTACCTACGTTAATGACAGGTACATAAACCGTGCCCCGAGTCACTCGCGTTAATGCAGGTGATGCTAAAAGACCTGCAGGCAACCCAGTTTCTGGTGGTTCAAAAAGCACGGTTTCCCCAGCAAAATGCCCAGAGCAAGTAGCAGCCACAACTTTTATTGTGCCGCCCGGAACACAACACTCACTGCGACCCCGCAATCGCACCTTGCCTATCCGGCTATCTGTAGGGACAGCACTTACCTGTCAATGTTGTAATGCTTGAAACACTGGCTTAGAAGCCCCTAACACTGAAGGTGCATCAAATAGGGCGGTACCGTGCTGCCCAAAGAGCTCCTGATAGCACCGGCTCAACACATTCATCCCCAAAATACCAGGGACTTGGATACCGGTGCCACCAGGAGGATCCCTTACAACCAGCACACCACATCCTGGGATCATCCGACCGCAAAGCTCAACATCCAACTCAAGATAGCCAACATACGGTATCAACGACCCATTGGCTGCACGGAGCTGCAACCACTGACATGCCCTGAGACGATCCTGGCCCCATGGTACAAACTGTTCTAAAAAATAACTTTCCATCATTGTAGACACCATGGAGCCAGTATCGATCAAACAGGGCACCTGCACCCCTCCCATACAAACAACGAGGTGAGGACATGATGCCATTAAATGCGGCAAGGGACCTAACATCATTGAGTCACTATCTTTCCCTACCGAACTGTGACTCTGCAGTTCAGTAAATAGCACGACTAAGGTGGTCATAAAAAGAATTAAAAACCAACCATACCTGCAAGTGAACTCTGCCACGGCTTGCCGCACGCCAACAACACCAGCCCCACTCTAAATTAAACTATAAACAGAGCATATTAACCTCGCAACATACGCATCATTACACCATCAGCCGAAACTCGACGTACCTGGATAGGAATGGGAACAGAAACGGAAATGCCAGGGAGAGAGAGAACCCCAAGTCAGTACAAAAGAAACAAAATAGCCGCAAAACTAATCAAACAAATATAGCAACAAATTACTCTGTTGACAAAGGTCAAGGTGCTACCACCTCATTGGTCTGCCAATCATACCCCAACCAACCAATCGGATGAAATTACTTATCCTGCCACACTTACATTACAATGCTCACTTACATTACACTGCTCACATTACTCACTTACACTGCTCACTTACATTACACTGCTCACTTATATCACATTACTCACACTGTTCACTTACATTACACTGCTCACTTATATCACATTACTCACTTATATCACATTACTCACACTGCTCACTTATATCACATTACTCACTTACACTGCTCACTTACATTACACTGCTCACTTATATCACATTACTCACTTACACTGCTCACTTACATTACACTGCTCACTTATATCACATTACTCACTTACACTGCTCACTTACATTACACTGCTCACTTATATCACATTACTCACTTACACTGCTCACTTACATTACACTGCTCACTTATATCACATTACTCACTTACACTGCTCACTTACATTACACTGCTCACTTATATCACATTACTCACTTACACTGCTCACTTACATTACACTGCTCACTTATATCACATTACTCACTTACACTGCTCACTTACATTACACTGCTCACTTATATCACATTACTCACTTACACTGCTCACTTACATTACACTGCTCACTTATATCACATTACTCACTTACACTGCTCACTTACATTACACTGCTCACTTATATCACATTACTCACTTACACTGCTCACTTACATTACACTGCTCACTTATATCACATTACTCACTTACACTGCTCACTTACATTACACTGCTCACTTATATCACATTACTCACTTACACTGCTCACTTACATTACACGTCCTCGGAAATCCCCGTTTATACGACTTCCCGCACTTTGTAGATATATGTTTGATGTTTAAATTTGGTCTTGGTGGTCCTAATTCTTTAATTGACAATTTATCCTTATACTATTATTGCTACAATGACGATTCATCTGCGCTGAGGAAACGTTCGCCAAGATGTCGATCAAGTTCAACTGACAACTGAATTTGAGTTGGCATAGCTGTCCCCGTCTCTCTGTTTTTGTTTTTTTTTCTCGGGTTTTTTTTTCTTATTTTTTCACATTTGATACAAATATTAAAGTAGTTTTTCATTTTTTCTTGTTGTTAAAATTCAAAACAGTTTTTAAATATTATTGGATGTCACTGTTCCCACCAATCCTTGCTCAAGTTAAGGTTACGCATGATGACGAAAGCACGTTAGTGCTAGCCCTCCCGGAACTCATAGAGATTGCACTGCAGTGCCTGCAGTTCGAAAAAAATTATCTTTGAATGGAAGTCTATGAGAGCACTCGGGGCGATTCTCAGTCTGACAGAAATCGCCCAAAAAGGGGCGGTACTACACAAAACGCGACTCGACGCTGATTGGACTATTTAGAGGCCGAACAAACAGTGAAAGCTAGCGTAACACTGTGGTTGAATGTGAAAGAAAAAAAATCCCTCCCTTTCGCGCTTTGGTGGTGCGTCGCCCAATCGCCCAAATGGAGAAACCGCCCGTTAGGATATATTGAAACCTTTTGATTGTTTCTTTATTTCCAGACAGTCTTTCTCACATGCCTCTAAAATAATTTCACATCTGCTTTCAGAAACATGCACAATAATCTCCGAATCACAAGGATACTCAAGAGCCTGGGAGAGCTGGGTTTTGAGCATTTCCAGGCCCCTCTGGTGCGCTTCTTCCTGGAAGAGACCCTTGTCAGAAAGACCCTCAGCAGCGTTAAACGCAGCGTGCTCGACTACTTCCTGTTTGCCGTGCGGGACAAGCGTGAGCGCAGGAAGCTGGTGCGCTTCGCCTTCCAGCACTTTGAGCCCAAAGACAAATTTGTGTGGTGCCCCAGAAAAATCCAGAAACGCTTCAAGAAGAAGTCGGAGAAGCGGCAGAACTCTTCAGCTGGCAGCGGAGAGAGCGCAGCGCAGGACGAAGGTCATTCACCATACAAAAATAAAGACAGAGAAGACGCAAGTGAACCAAAACATAGCAAGCCTGTCGCTGATCTCACAGATGCAAAGAAGCAAGTCGACAGTGACTCCGTAATGAGAGTCGACTCTGAGAAACACTCCGAGGGCTCTTCAGAAGATCAGGAGCCCAATCCAGACGCTGCTCTCAGTAATGGCTCCAGTGTTAACAACGGAGAGACTGTCAGCGATGAGCCGAGCTGTGCTGAAGGCCAACAGGTCATCCAGAAGCCTGAGCAAGCTGCGGAGCTCTCGAACTGGGGACATGTAGCTGGTTCTAGAGCAGGATCAGCAGACTGTGACGAGACTCGGGAAGAGATGGACAGTCCTGCTGACTCCCAGGAGGAGCATGAAGAAACGGCCTCAGGTATGAGTGAGGAAAGGACAGTGACTGACAGCCCTAAACACAATGCACCAACACAGTCTGAGAAGATTCCCAGGCCCGGCTCGATGAGGACGAGCGTCCAATCAGAGAGCAATGAGAAGAACACAACAAACTGCAACCAGTCGGAGAAGGAAGAGCCGATGGACATCCCTCGCCCATGAATGACTCCTGAACACGATAAAGCACTGAAAATGGACACTTTATGAACTTATTACAAGATGAGATATGAACTGTTGAATATGAGTTGTTTTTTTTAATTAAAGAAGGAATTAATTCAAACGTGTTTTCTGTGTTGGATCAATTTTGACGGGGCCAAATGTTTTTTTATAGCTGTTTTTTTTTTTTCAAGTTTGAATGTTTATTTGTCCATATCTTCATATTTAGTTTTTCCAAGCATTTTTTTTTTCAAACTGAAACCGTGAAAGAAGAATGTACATTCAACTAATAAGAATACATAGAGCTAGGATACTGTTTTTTAGCAGATATACTGTATTTTTGCCGATGCTGTCCCTTAACCCTTTCATGTTTTTAATGATATTCCTGAATTCAAATGGAGGAGCTTGTCTTCAAAAATGATCATTTTACATCTGCAGTCATATAAACTATAGAAGCATTAATAACTAAATAAGCTCTGTGATCAGAAGTTGTATAAATCAATCTCTTAGTGATTCTTTAAATGTGCAGCACATGCAGTAACTACAAATTTATAATTACAAGTTTTCCCACCGTACCATAAATCAACCCTTCATGACGTATTCTAGAATAAATAAAAAACCTTTGTCAGCTATGAATTAAGGTTTGTTTTTTTCTGTTGTTTTAAAATAAAACCATAATTAAAGTGTACTTTCATTTTGCTCAGTTGCTGGAGTTCAGTAATAATAAAATCAGAGGAACTTAAGGGAATAAAGGAAATGTGTATGTTCTGTCAATTTGTCTTTAATCCATAGTATTTTAAATCTGTCAAACCTCCTGAGATCAAGCCGTTTAAGAGGAAAAGGAGACACAATTTTAATTGGATGAAGTGTTTTGCAGGTCATGCAGAACATGTGAACAGCATGGCAGTGAATGTGAATAATCTTTGGACTGTTTTCCTAATGATCCCCATCTCTCATTGAAATAATGAGTTCTTGTTTCCGGGCCTACTACAAAATAATGTCTTTGCCTGCCAACATTTCTATGCATAAAATAGATTACATACATACTTAGAGGAATGTAGAAACTCTCAGTACTGTGTTATGCCAGAAATTAATGTACGTTTGTAAATATGTCACTAATTAAAAAAAAAAAATGTGTGTGTGTGTATATATATAATATATATATATGATTATTATTAAAGGGGTCATATGATGCGATTTCAATTTTTCCTTTCTCTTTGGAGTGTTACAAGCTCTTGGTGCATAAAGAAGATCTGTAAAGTTGCAAAGACTAAAGTCTCAAATCCAAAGAGATATTCTTTATAAAAGTTAAGAGTCAACCACACCTCCCTAAAACGCCCCCACATGTCTACCTCACTATGTGGAAATATTAGCATAATGCCGCCCAAATGTGCACGCAAAGAAAGAAGGCGTGGTTTCAGGAACAGCAGTCGTGTTGATGCAGCATGTCAGGGAGACGCTGTGTTTCAGTGCGAAAGCAAAAGCACTTTGAATCAGCGACTGTAAGTATGTTTTGTTATCAGTTTAAGTATTTTATATTGACTGTTCAAATGCGGAGTTTGGCGCAGCGCAGAGTAACGCGTTGTGTGTGTGTGTGTGTGTGTGTGGGGAACAGGGTCACATCACAGGAGAGTGAACAATGTACAGTATTTGAAAAATAATGTGTTTTTTGAACATTAAAGCATGTCAACATATTCTGTTACACCAAATACAC